CATCACGTACATCAAATTACCAACTGCGCTTGCATATGGAACACGAGACATTTTGTTCATTTCAGCATCTGTCTGCAGATACAAGTTAAGACTTATAGTATGCCCTTTCTTAACTGGAGTATTTATGAGTTTCGAGTCTTACATATGAAATCGCTTAAGAATCCTTTGGATATATGTTTCTTGTGACATAATAAGAAACTTTTGAAAGCAATTTTGATGTATCTTAACACCAAGTATGTAACTTGCCTCACCTATGTCCTTCATCTCAAATTTGGAGGAAAATCACTCCCTCGTGGTAACAAGTTGCTCCAGATAATTCTCAACTAATAAAATATCGTCGACATACAAAGGCAATAACTGAATGATTTTCTTATACTTCTTAATGTATACACAATAGTCTTCTTGAAGCATTTCAAAACTATAAGTCATTATAGCCATATGAAATTTGATATACCATTGTCTTGATGATTGTTTTAGACCATATATGGACTTATTGAGCTTGCACACTTTACGCTCAAAGCCAGAGGCTACAAAACCTTTAGGTTGCTCCATATATATCTCTTCCATCAAGTCACCTTTTAAAAAGCAGTCTTCACATCCATTTGGAAGAGTTCTAGGTCCATATGTGTGACGATTGCTAGGATTAGACGAATCGAGGTCATTCTCACCACCGGGGAGAATGTCTCATCGTAGTCCACTCTTTCAATTTGGGTGAACCTTTTTGCCACTAAGCGAGCTTTATAGTTATCTATGGTTTCATTTGCCTTCCTCTTGATTTTCAACCCATTTGTTTTCAATCGATCTTCTATTAGGCTGTAGGTCCACAAGTTCCCGGACTTGATTCTTCTCCATAGAACTAAGCTCGTCTTTCATAGCAGACATCTACTGGTCCATAACAGGAGAATTCAAGGCCTCTTGAAATGAGCTAAGCTCATCAGCATCAAGTAAAATGTATGTGAGACCCTTTACTTCGAAGTGTCTATGAGGAACTTTCCCACGTTGACTCATTCAAAGTTCGACATGTGATTCACTCTTAATAGGTGTCCCTAGCATAGTCGGTGATTCAATATGGGTCATATGTTCATTCTCAATCAGTGGCTCACTCCCACTGTCATTGACAATCATGGGAAAACTCCACTAGTACCCTCAAATAAAGGAACTATCTCAATGTCTGTTTGAGATTCAGGCTCTTCATAGAACTCTTCAAACATACGAGACTACTTCTTGTTAGGGAATTTCGTCTCTATAAAATTTACATCGCGAGATTCTATTTCCTTTATCATCCCACCATCACGTTTTTTACAGAGCACATATCGCTTCGGGTGCTCAGAATATCTGACAAAAATGCACTCGAGAGACAATCAGTCTAATTTCCCTATCGATTGAGAAGGGAAGTGAACATATGCAGGTGACCCCCAAGGATGTAAGTGAGAAAGATCTGGTTTTCTACCTATCCATAACTCATAAGGGGTCTTGAGAACGGATTTTGATGGTACTCCATTTAGGACATACAACGTAGTTAAGAATGCATCTCCCCAAAATGATATTGGGAGGTTGGCGTGAGCCATCATAGACCTCACCATGTCCAACAGAGTATGATTCCTTCTTTCCGCAACACTATTTTGTTATGGACTATAGGACATCGTCTCTTATCATTGGATTCCCTTATTCTCACAAAGCTGCTTAAATTGATCAGATAAGTATTCTCGTCCTCGATCAGTGTAAAGAACCTTAATTCTTTTGTCCAACTGATTTTCAACCTCTAACATAAAATGGCGAAAGCAATCTATTTCTTGTGATTTATGCCAGATTAGGCATACATACCCGTAGAGAGAATAATCATCGATAAATGTGATAAAATAACAAGAACCATTATAGGCAGTCTCATTAAATGGACCACAAATGTTAGAACGTATTATATCCAGAAGACCGATTGCTCTCTTTGCATTAAGAAATGGCTTTCTAGTTGATTTTCCAACTATAAATGGTTCACAGATAGACATGTCTATTTTGGATAAAGGCAACAATCATATTTTGGCTAATCAGATCATCCTATCTTTTCTTATATGAGCAAGCTTAGCATGTCATAATATGGAGTTGTGAGTAATAGAAGAAGTGGAAAAGGATGACGATGTCATATAGGTAAAAGGAAGGGAAAAATTAATATCATTATTATCCAAAATAAACAAGTCATTAAAAATCTGGCCATAACAGTGAAAACCATATGGGAATGTAAATGTAGCATAATTAAGCATGAAACTGATAAAGCAACCGTCTGTAACTAGACATAGAACTGAAAGTAAACTTTTTCTTATTCTGGGAGCATAAAGAACGTCATGGAGAAGAAGGGTCCGTCCACTTTGGAATCGGAGTTGGTAACGTCAAACGCCTAGCACATCCTCTGATACGCAATTCCCCATGACGATCTTTTGACTTCCAACCGGCAAAATTTGGAGCTCAACGAACCCCTCTCGATCCCTTGTTATATGCCTTGTCGCTCTTGAATCCACAATCCACCCAGTAAATTGTGAATGAGCAACAAGTACCTGAGTGCAAACATTTGCATAGCTAGAAAAATCAGTTTGTACCTTTTTAGGTTCTGGACATTCGCGTACATAGTGGCTCTTATTCTTTCAATTGTAGCAAGTTATTTTATATTTTCCCTTTATGCGTCTCTCGCATCCATGCCTGACCTTTTTCTTTTCCTTAGCCTCTAATTTAGGTTGCTTCTTCCATTGAGGTGTCCAATTCTTAAACTTACCTCGAGGTTTATGGCCTCAAGGCCTGCTTGATTGAGCAATTAGAGCGGTTCTAGCTCCAGAAGATTAGCGGAACTCAGCCTCTATCTAAAGGTGATGAGAAAGTTGGGAAAAAGTTGTTACAGCTTCATTATGCAACATCAATGACTTTATGTTTTTCCAAGATTCTGGAAGAGCCCTAAGCACTCCGATCATCTGTTGCTCGTGACGGAGTTTGTTTCCAGCGGCCTCTAGGTCATGTATCATTTGAGATATTTTTCAGACATGGTGTGTCATCAACACATTTGGAAGTATTTTATATGTCTCAAAAGCCATAGAAAAGGCTCGTAACATAGCAGCGGAAGTGCCAACATACTTATGCTGAAGCGCATCCCCCATGACCTTCGTCGTAGTGAATCCCTCGAATTCATGAATAAGGTCATCAACCATAGCATTTAGCAAAGTAAAGCAAGTGCTACGGTCAGCATTGTTTCATGCCTCATACTCATTGAGAAGTTCTTCAGTGGCAAATTGTTCAGGACTTTGCTTAATGGTAGTTAGGTGTTCAAGTGTACATTGCTCATTTAGAAGGTATTGCATTTTTCTATGCTACATAGGAAAATTGCTCCCACTCAACATTTCACCTTTTGTGAGATCCGTAATCACATTTTTATAAGCCATTGTAAATCAAAACAACAAAATTGTACCAATTAATAAGGATGTTTCATGGTTTTTTTGATCCATGATTGCACTTATAATTTCTTTTTTACGGTTGTTAATTGTCTAATTACTTGAAAAAAAATCTTGACCCTTAAAAGTCTTGATATGAAAATTTCGCGTGGCCACATTGAACTCTTGCTTGTAATCAATACCAAGTTAATTTCTTAGATCTAGTATCTTAAATACCTTACAATTTGCAAGCGGTGCACCTTCCTAAATGCACTCCCACAAAAAAAAATGCCCTTTTATGCGGCCTTAAAATGCAAAAAAGGAAAAAGAAAAAGAGTAAGACCCTCCATGCACGGCTTATCATATGAGGCCTATCATGATTAGTTAGCCATGATGCTCATGGTTTAGGATGCCTCAACTTGCATAGCCCATGCATAAAGCCAACACGACTATGTGGTTGGTATATAAGGTTACATGGTACACATGTCTATGGTCTTAATATCACCATCATGTGCACTTTGCAACATCATAGGCCAACCATCGCTAAGCCTTCACATGTAAGGCAGGAATGATAATGCGGGTATAATCGGGAACCTGGTTCCACGATGGCTTTGATACCAATATTGACAAAATACGATCCAACGGTCGAAGCAAAAGCAAAATAAAACAATCGAAAATCGGGCAACATACCTTAGTGCACAACAATTTTTATGAACGAATATGAAGATGAACGATCAACTTAAGTAGGGACGTTCAACAACTACTAGAGCTGCCGAAGTCTATTCCACACCTCAAATCCCGAGTGAGGTAGAAGCCCACGAATACTTTCACAAAATGCGATCGGAGCAGTACAAGCTCGACTCTCACGCATAACTATTTATCTCTCAGGGCCGGATCTCTCCTTAGCTCTCAAATAAGAGAGGGATTGTACTCTCTCTCTCTCTCTCACTCTCTCTCTCTCTCTCACTCTTTCTCTCTCTCAAGACTATGCTCTCACACTTTTTCATGTGTGTTGTGTTGTGTAGAGACCTCCACCTCTCCCCTTTTTATAATGAGAGAAAGGGTCATCTCATTCATGTGGGAGTAATCTCCTCATGAATGGGCACCTTTATGGTGCATGATGCATGCCATTCATGGGAGGGTAACCCCCTCATGAAAAGATACAACCTCTCCCCACCTCTTTTCATGTAATAACGTAAGTCAAACATGAAAGGGCGTGGTCCACTTGAGTGTACCCTCACACTAGGGATGCACCCTCATATCAACAAAACCAATTAAAATGTTTTCTTATTAAGACAATTACAATTTAGTAAATGTTAAATATTGCAAATGGGAATGGGGGTGGGGCATTACTGGTTGGGGGGCCGATGCTTCAACATAACGTTCCGCCCTCCATTCCCACAGTTAACATGTCAAAAAAAAAGGAAAAAAAAAAGAGATAGACTAATGATGTGCTGCAGAAGTGTTTGTACCTCTCACAATTGTTCTCTATTAAATGTGTCATGAGGTTTATGGATCTAACTCATTAAAGAAAGGATTTCAAAATAATGATGACCCTTGTCCATAAGGGAATGCTAGATAGGTAGCCTCAAGCACTCATTCATAACATATCATATCATTCACTCTCTCTCTCTCTCTCTCTCCATTGCAGTGAAAGGCATCAGCATTTTCTCACGGCATGAATTGATCGCCCCATCCAACATTTCCTCCATTGTGTGCTTGAACTCAAATCCAAGATCTTCAAGTCTCTTAGATGGGAGCCTTATGGGTCTTACTGTCTCATCAACGCCTTCAAACCTACAAAAGAAACAAAGAATTTATTTTTATTTATTTGCTCTTACTTGAAATCCAGGGGTTGAAAAACCGGTCGAGGTGACCCGGAATGGCCCGGGTCAACACGGGTGCCAATTCTAGCGCGATAGCGGAACTCGGGTGGTTTCAAAAACGAATTGCCCATTTTCGGGCGATTCAAGGCCCGACTGACATCGTCATCGTCATCCACGAATTCCGGAGGGTTGACAGCCTCACTAAGGTCAGCACCGTCAAACTTCTACAGACGAATCACACGGTCCCCCAGTAAACATCATCTCTCCGATGTAGAACATCGCCCTTTATAACGTTGCTTTTTACCAAACGCACGTCGGGCGTTTCACGAAACGGGCGGGATTTTTGGTTCACCTATCCCAATTCGACTTCGAATTGAACCCGACGGTGTAGTACTAAAAGTCTAACTAATGCCAAGTTTAAAATTTAAAGTTTAAACATGGAAAGCCCCAACGGTGTACCCGCCCATCATGAATAATATACGCCCGACGGTGTGCGCTCGACGGTGTACTCTCGACGGTGTACTCTCGACGGTGTACACCCGTTTGTACATCCGATGATGGTAATTAAATTATATGATAAATTTTTTTTTGATTAAAATAATAATTGGGTGTTCACCATCCCTATCTTTCACCAAAGAATTTTAAATTTACCTACCCAAATAAAACATAAAAACTCTATTAGGCTATTATCTCATGGGATTATTTCATTATATGATTAATAATTAATTAAGTAGTTAATTAAAATTAAAAATTAGTACTAGCTCATAGGATATTATAAAATAAAAAATAATACTAATTCTAGTTTATTGAATATTAAAAAATATTAATTTAGAGGATATTTTAATAGAGAAAAATAGCACGGACTCATACCACTTTAGAATTTATTATATATTGATAACCAAATATTTTATTTTATTTATTTTAATTTATTTGCATTATAAATTGTGTAATGTGATATTTTTTATTGTAGTTGTCAATAATACATTTTAAATTAGATAATATTATAAGATATTTTGGATTTATTATTATTTATATAATAAAATAACTATAAAATTTAAACCAACAATTTCAATTTCAGTATATAATATAATAGTTAGTTAGGTTGTAATTATTTTGGATTATAGTTAGTTAGGCTATAATAATTTGTGTTTTTTTAGCAGATTGAGGTTTTGCGCCAATTAGAGATTTTGGTTGCCATTTTTTATCGATTTAATCCATTATTTATTATAGACTATGTATGATTATATACTTCATCCATGATATTTCTATGATTTTTTTTTTTGTGTGATGTAAATTTATTGGTTAACATAAGTTCATACAGGGAAATAACATCTCAATATTTACATATTGATAAAAAAAATGAAAGTTAATAATGTAGTACCCCCATTTCAGGGAAATAAGATCTTAATATTCACATATTGATAAAAAAAAATGAGAGTTAATAATATAGTACCCCCATTTCTTATTGGATTCATAAAAAGCAGTACTTATAATGAATTTTAGTATTTCTTTTAGATTTTTTTCAAAACTTAATTTTCTGATTCAGTCGATTCTCGATCCGAATCACCAATTCACGGATCCGGTACACCGATCTGTTTTAAAACCCTGCTTGAGGCATACTCCTTTGGAATAGGTACCGATGCTATATGTTTTATAATGTACTTTTGACTTTTAAGTGGATGTGCTATGATGAGCATCCTTTTTAAATGCATTATAGCACAAAAAACATCCGAGATAAAATTTATCAGGCGTAATGGAGAATGACACAGATATCCTCACGAACGTAGGGCTGGCAATGGGCCAGCAGCCCATCCTTAAAAAAATAGGGCGTGGGTCACAAACTGTTGCTTGAGGCCAGGGCTAGGGTTAGTGCCGGTTCGGTTCGAACCAGCCCAACCTTTTTTTTTTTTTTTGGTGTTTTTTATTACTCTTTTTGTTTAATTATTGTTTGCTTCATTTGTTTTTGGCCCGGCCCGACCCTAACAAGGTCTGGGCTGGCCCTAGGGGAACAAGGTCCGGGCCAAGGTCAAGACTGGCCCAGCCCATTGTCATCCTCACATGAACATTTAAAGGATCACCCTTGTACTAAAAGAAGAACCCTTTTACTAAAGGAAAAAGTTTATATAAGGTTTCAACCTTAAAATGTAGAATTAAAGATGCGCCTAAAAAAATCTATCATAAAGATACGCCTAAAAAATTCATCATAAAATGTTGTTTGAATATTGGAAAACCCTTTAATTGATGATCTCGAAATCGAGATGTATGAATATGAAAAGAAAAATAGATTTCAAGTCCACGAACTAATATATCTTGCAAGACATTGTCTTGACTGTCCATTTTAAAAAAATTTAAGTGTTTATAGATCTACTTGATTTGAACCATTTTTAAAGTTTAAAATTTTATAATTAGAGGTGAAAATATATTCTCAAGTCATCCTAAGATTTTATATCAAAATTACATTTATAATAAAACTTAGAAATGCGTCTGAATTGGATTGTTTAAGGTTGCAGCCTTATGCAAACTATACTTTTTACGAAAAGGAGAAGTATACAAAGAGACCATTTACTTTTAAGCCATGGTCATTATTATTGTTGTCTATTAGATTTCAAATCAGGTGGTTGTATGTTATCGACTATACTCAAAGTTAAAAAAAAAAAAATCTCAGATTTTATGATATACCCCAAGTCATCTAATTTGATATCTAATGGTCAGTAGCCATTGGACCTCCTTGTAATAAAGATAAATATTGTCACAGTATACAGTCCCTTATTTAATAGGACAATATATTGCATGTTGTGTTTACTATTCCTATATGTAATGTTCATACACAGAGTTAGTTTGTTTTCAAAATATGTACTGCATGTTACAAGAGGGATGATTTTATAGCGCTTGTGGGGAATTCCTTTTTGCGAAGTTCGTGATACAGTTCGAAATATGGATTATTGTCGAGATAACTCAACCCTAGCAAAACAGGAAAAAAAATGTGTGTGTGAGAGAGAGATAGAGATTCTTAACTCAGTAGGGATGTCATACTCGGGGTATCTTTCTTTCATCATTTTCGACAACTGAATGATGGTGAAATCATGCGAAGAGCAAATGTACCGACCCTTGGCATCAGGATGCTCCATGAGGAAGATATGAGCATTGCATAAATCATCCAAATGTACCATCCAATTCTGTTTCAAAATGAAGTACAGAGCTTCATCTCCTACAGAGAACCACCAATACCTCAATCTCTTTAGGGCAACAAAACTGCAAACAAAACTTGGTAGTATGCTACAAGAAGTTCATTTCCTTCCATTTCATGTTTCTCTCCCTTTTTTTGGGCAATTACTAATATTCAAGAAAGTAAATGAAGAAAATAAATGGCATACTTGTGATAAGGGCTAAGGCAATGAGTATGCTAATGTGCATGGTTGGCACGATGAAGGGCCCAACAACTATAGAGGGTGCAATTGTCACGAGGTCCATGTTATTCTCCTCAGCAAACTTCATTGCAGCTTTCTCAGCAAGTGTTTTCGAAACAACATACATCTATACCCCAAATTTTGGAGCAAAAAATTAGTCCACAAACGTATTTTGTGATCAAGGTTCTAGAAGTACACATGCCCACATCTCATGGCCATGACGTTATTGTTAAGGAAAAAGTTTGTATAGAGCCCAGGCTCTATGCAATCAAATTTAGAGCCCACCTCAAAATTTTCACTAGAAGAGGTTGTTTTGACGTCCAAATATCCTCAAATAGATCAATTTTTTTTTTTTTTTGAGTAATTTAGTGGGGATGACGAGCCCCTACCTATTTTTTAAAGGGAAAATTTCGAATAGAATCCTAATTCCTCATATTATTTTATAGTAGACCCTCCTTCCGTTTTCTTTCAAGCGGCATAAGAAGACCGCTAAAGATTTCACCATACCCCCTCATCACTTATCTCCTTCTTTTATTGATTTTTGACCATAAAAATTAGCTCCAACAAATCTTTTTATACCATTTTAACCCAAAAATATTTTTGATGTGTGGAAATGGAAAAAGATGA